GGGTTTAAATAATTAACAAATATACAGCAATTAACTTCTCTTCACGGGCATCTGTTACTGCGCATGACGTTTTTAGTGAGTTATATTCAAAATGTACTTAAACTACTTTTTGTTCATGTTATATTATACAAGTTTTAAGTTTCTAATTTTATACGAAATCCTGAATTTCCTCTAGTGTGATAAATATTACATTTGCTCTATTGACTCTTTTCTGTAATTTATTTACCACCCCTCCAAGAAGTATGAAATTTAATGTAAATTACTCATTATAATGCTGTTGTTGCTCAGGCAAAACAGTTTTCACAGCTTTCAATTTTATTTGGTTACAGAGCCATCAAATAGAAAATTAGACTTATCTTTCCACACCTACCAGTCACATCCACTGTTTCAGGATTTGTCAGTAGTTTTCTCTTATGTTTAATACTATATTATTTATAACAGATAGAAAGCCTAGATTTTCACCTATCAAGTGACATATCATATTGCATTATTTACTGTACAGAGAATTGTCAGTTTCTCTCTTAGTTCAAGCTTCATTCCCATGGGAAACACAACTACTAGCTTGGCTGAATTTGTAATACGTACTTAGAAAGCCAAAAAAATTGTGATAGTTATGGGACATTGTCTGCATTTCACATGTTATTATTCAATTATCTTTGGTGCATTATTTAATTAGATAAAAATTATTTAGTGCAGTATTGCCTTTAATATAAAAAAAAGTAGACTTAAGTGTTGTCAACAGCAAGAAAAAAAGGAGGCCCAGATAAGTATTTTATATTATGTTTTTCATGTGTATTCGTTATTTATTGTTATAAAAGTAACTGCAATGTAAAATTAGGAAACTCTTTAGTTAGTTAAGGTTAGATTAGGAAAAATTGATAATATTAATAATACAGATTTTCATGAGATACACAAGAAGTTCCAAATAGCTTGTGAGTAATGTAATTCAAGAGTGTAATGTGAGCTTAACATGCCCAAAGTGACTTACAACTTATAATGCCATGAATAGTAGTTAGACACAGTTAAAATGGCAATAAAACAATAAAATTTAAGCTACTTAGGATAAATAAATGTAGTTTCATGTTACAATTTAAGTAATTCTAGAAAGAAGAAAATGGGTAATTTATTTTTTTTGTGGTGTTTACTGGTGGTCAGTCAAATTTATCAACCTTGTTTAGAGTTAGAGTAGGGAAAATAACAGATATAATATAAAGTTTTACTGAAAACAAATGTTTGAAATGTATTTAGGAAGTTTTGAAGATTACACAAATGATTTTTGAAATGAAGAATAGTACTTTTAATCTTAACATAAAACTTACTTAGCACTTGGACTGATTTATAGAAATACTATATATATTCACAGACAAATTTTTAATTAACATACTATATCAAAAAATCAGATTTTTTTGTATACTTTGTAAACTTGCGATGTTTAACAAAAGTCTGCCAAATTTTGTGAAGATACATGTACTATATTAAAAGTTAATAGTATGAAAACTGTAACAAGTACAAAGTATTCACGTGGTTGGTCAGTTTTACTGAGCCCATGTTAAGAGAGTTAAAACCATTTAATTGGTGTGTTTTTTCTTCTTGAAATTCTAAGAATTATTCTATCATGAATTGGAATAAAGCATGCTTTCTCCTAATGATTTTGTATGTCATTTGTCCTTTCATATCTTCTGTGTTACATCATTTCATTTTAATAATGATGTCAGTTTGCTCATTTTTATATATGTAATATTCATCTGAAAAGTTAAGAAATGTAGACATAAGCTCTAGTAGTGAGTTTCAAGCCTAATCAGTAGAAAATACATCATAATGTTTATTTTTGTTAATTTTGAAACTTAAACAAAGAATAATCACATATAGAATTTTGAGTTCACATAATTTTTCTTTAAAGTATATGAAACTCATACTTACCAGAGATCTGAATGACATTTTTGATGTTCTTGCTGAGTAAATGATATGTGATTCAATATTGTGAAATAGCTTTACAGAATTGATCTGCAACATGCACAAAATGCTTAAAATACTAATTTATATGTTGATTTCTGGTTCTAAATCAGTTTACTAATTTTCCTTAAAAATTTCAACTTTCTATTTGATGATACCTTCTACTATAAAATAGCTCACACTTTTTTTTTCCTTTTTTTGTGTCATGACATCCTATTTTAAAATATATATGTCCACTATGATATTTTATCACAAATGCATGTTCTTTAACAAAATGTGTAGCAAAATGCATCACAAATACTTTTGTTTTATTATATCTCGGGGAAACAGTATAATTCACATCAACCTGTTTTCTTTTTTACACACTGCTTTGAAAAATTTCAAATGCTGTTGTGTCATGACATCCTATTTTATAAAATATCCACTGTGATATCACAACTACTTTGTTTTATTATACCTCAAGCAGTAAAATAGTTCACATCTATTCTTGTTTAATAACATCCTTTGAAGTACAATCTCTCATATTTATCTGTTTAATCCCAGACTGCTATAGAGTGATAATCTGTTTTTGTTTCATTGCAGCGTTTGATCTAAAATTGCACATTTTCCCTGTTATTTTGACACAACTTCTGTTATAAAATAATTTGTCTTCCCTGTTGTCTGAACATGCCTTCTGCCATAAGTGCTTAACATCTATTATTACATTATTGTGAAGTATGTCAGCTTTCATTGTTCCATCATACACTTCTGTCAAATAATTGATATCTCCATTATCTAATCATCTCTATGGTGTAAGATATCCTTCATAATTCGATGACAAGGAACCCACTTTGAGACTAATAATGCATGGAGACAG